TTTGAATTCTCAGGAGTGCTTCTGTCACCATCTGTTTTTGAGAACTATTTAAATATTGGATTAATCTCATTAGCAATCTTACTTCCATAACCACAACATCTGCACTGAGGCCATTGCTATGTTAACCTTTGGATGAATGTCCAGTTCAATGTTTATAGCCATAAATGTTACTTTTAGACTAGAACATCTTTGTAGCAGAGTGATTTGCCTACAGGTCATGGTGCTCACTGCTGGATCGGGCATCTAGTGTTTTTGAAGGTCATTTGAAGAGTCCCTGATTTGTCACTCATTGCTGGTTTTCCTGTTTTGGCTGAATTCTGTTTCATCCTCCTCCACTGAGTGTTCTGACTGTCCACCTTTGCTCGTTGTAAATTCTTCCCCACTTTAACTTTGATTTATTTGAAGAACAAAGCCAGTATTTCTGATCTGGTGACAGTAACTCAGAGTAAATGTGTAGAGTACTTTGTGCATGAAGCTTATTGGTGATGGCATTGGATCCCAGGGCAAGATCCACCTAGATCTCCTTTTACCATCTGGGTGGTCTCATGATGCAACAATATTAGTGTTATTGGTAAGCAGAGTAATCAATCTTTCTTGATTGGCCCTCAACAGATCCACAAATTAGGTGAAAGATTTCAGAGTGGTGAGAGATTTCTAAAGTTAGATTTATCATGTCATGACTTAAACGTCTCATTGTGTAGAATTACAGAATCTCGGAGCATACGTCCAAACCATTTTGTCTTTCTTACCTTTGGATCTGCTACATGAGTTAGGTTCGCTGTATTTTTTGCGTCCTCCCAATGAGTCCTCGTCAGTACGTATCTAGTTTTTTTGTGTTACTTTGGAATCTGACTTCTTCAGTTTCTCGATGTATGCCATATCTGTTCTGTATAACTGTGATAAAGTCATTTCTCATTCTCTTATTTGATTTCCCAAAACCCATCAATTTGGAATGACTCTTGTGTATCTCCCTTTAATCTGATCTAAGAAGCATACTTCTTCAATCTTCCTATAAAACCAAACTTCCTGGTAAACTTGGTGTGCACCCTCTCCAAGGCCTTGATATCCTTTTCTGAAGTGTGGTGCTCAAAACTGTGCTCAGTGTTCTTGGAATCCCTACAGTGTGGAAACAGGCTCTTCGGCCCAACAAGTCCACACCAACCCTTAGAACATCCCACCCAGACCCATCCCCCCAACCTAAACATCCCTAAACACTATGGGCAATTTAGCATGGCCAATCCACCTAGCCTGCACATCTTTGGACTGTGGGAGGAAACCGGAGCACCCGGACGAAACCCACGCAGAGACGGGGAGAATGTGCAAACTGCACCGAGGGTGGAATCGAACCCGGGTCCCTGACGCTGTGAGGCAGCCGTGCTAACCGGTAAGCCACCGTGCCGCCCCTAAAGACCACCATTGCACAAAGCAGATTTTAAATAGCACCTGCCATCCCTGTCCATTTTGTCTTTCCAAGTACGTCTGGAGTCTCCAAACCATTCTATTCCTATTACATTTTGTACCGTTTGTAAATTTCAAAAGTGCGTTGCCTATTCTATGATATAAACTGTCTGATTTATATGTTTTTAAATCATTTATTTTAAAGTTGGCTTTTGATTTTTGAGTTAGTTTTCTGTATGTCTGTAGTTAACTAGCTTGTAAGTACTTATGTAGCCACGGTGTTTTTTAACCCATTTCTGAGGGATACTTTGGCAGCTGAATGGTTTTTGTTTCCTTTAGGATTGTAGGAGCTCTCAAGGTCGACAGTAGTTCTCAGGTTTCTGTTAGAAATGTCTGGACTGGGAATTTTTTTTGAAGCTTAGAGAGTTTTATTAAAGTTTTACTTCATTTTGGGCAGCTCTGTGAAGTCCTTGCCTGGCGATGCAGGGGAGAATACAATGAAAGTAGATTACCTAAATTATGGAGTTCATAATATCTAAACACTTCCGGTCTGGGACTAAAACCCTGATGTGGAAGTGCCGGTGTTGGACTGGGAAGGACAAGTCAGAAATCTCACGATACTAGGTTATAGTTCAACAGATTTGTTTGAAAGCACAAGCTTTTGGAGCGTAGCCCCTTCTTCAGGTGAAGTGAGAAAGAAGCACACAGAACACTGAATTTATAAGTAAAAGATCAAAGGGTCACATCACTGATGAGGATGTATTAAACCAACTTAAGATGCTGTTAAATCTTTAATCAGTAAGAAGGTTTTAATTGATTAATATGTACGTGTAAATACCCGAATTTCTTTCAAGTCACTGCCCGAGAGAACTAAATGTTTTATCACTGTAAAGAAGAGGTGACATTTTAGGTCAAATAATACATGTTAGATGTGAGGCCTTCTTTAGAATCTGTTTGTGTTTTGGTTTGGAGTTCGACTGTTTTTGTTTTTAAAGTAAGAATTTACAAAACGCCACATTGACTATCTATAACTTGTGTGCTTTATACCCTGCTTAGGATAAAACTCTGCAGAGGACTTGAAGCTGATTTTGTTATAAACCAGTGTGTGTTATGTCTCGGGATAAGCTATCAAAGGTTCAAGTCTTGGAGTTAATGTCAGAGTTCCCTTAAACCTATTGAGGTATTAAGCGAAAGGGATTCTAGTGTGAATACTATACAGGGTTACTGTTGGGTACTGTACAAAGAATTTTCTCATTTTGGGATGAGTGGGATTAAGTGGGGGAGTTTTAGATAATAGGAAAGATTTAGAGCAATTGTGCTTATTCTACTTTGGGCAGAGGTGACCTTATTGAGGTGTTCAAAATTTTGACAGGGTAAAGGATGTTCTTGTTCCACTAGTTGACATGTCAGTAACAATTTCAAGATTGTCAACAAGAGAGCTAGGGACAAGATGAGGTTGTTGTTGGGGGTGGGGGGTGGGGGGGCGTGGTCATAACCATACCCAACCCCTGATATTTCATAAACGGCAAGAAAAGTAGTGGTCCTAATAACAGTTCCTGGGGATTCCAGTTTGCACATCTATCCAGGCAGTCAAACATTCAATCATTTTACACACAAAAACAGAAAATGCTGGAAATGCTCAGCAGGTCTGGCAGCATCCGTGAAGAAAAAATCAGTTAACATTTCGGGTCCGGTGACCCTTCCTCAGAACCCAAAGGTCACCGGACCCAAAATATTAACTCTGATTTTTTTTCCTTCACAGATGCTACCAGACCTGCTGAGTATTTCCAGCAACTTCTGTTTTTGTTCCTGATTTACAGCATCCGCAGTTCTTTCCGTTTTTATTCAATCATTTTATTTTGAAAATAATACATATTTTGATGAAGTTTTTTATCTTGGCTTCATCCGGACGTCTCTCAAGAATACCAGTTCCAGAGGGTAACAACATTTATGTTGTACGAAAAGTGTGTGCGGATTGGCTGGCAAGCGAACTTTGACCGATAGAGACATTACCATGAAGAATGCACCAGTTAGATGATTGATTGCCAAATTTAAACAAGGCAGGTTGACTCTGGTCAAGGCATTGCCCTGAGAAATTTAAATTGGCTGTGATTTTTAACTTCGTGCTGGAACCTATTTAGCCTTTGCTCATAAGACAATGCCTCCATACTGGGGATCGTCCTGTGAATCTTCTCTGAACCGCCTCCAGGGAAATGGTACCATTCCTTAAGGGGACAAAAACTGCTCACAGTCCTCCAGATGTGGTCTCACCAGTACCTTGTACAGTTGAAATAAGACTTCCTTACTCGTATACTCCAACCCTGCTGAAATAAGGGTCAACATTCCATTAGCCTTCCTGATTACCTGCTACACCTGTGTGCTAGCTTTCTATGTTTCATGTTCAAGTACCATCAAGTCCCGTCATTTTGCAGCATTCTGCAGTTTTTCTCCATTTAAATAAGTCTGTTCTTTTGCTCTTCCTTCCAAAATGAGCAACTTCTCATTTTCCCATATTATACTTCATTTGCCAACTTTTTGCCCTCTTAACCTATTACTACCTCTCTGTAAGCTGTTTGTATTCCTCTTATAACCTACCTTTCCACCTATTTTAGATTCACCTGCAAATTTGGCTACAGTAATTATCTTCCTTCCTCCAAATTATTAATATATATTGTTAACAGTTGTGGTCCCACCACTGATCCCTGTGAGACCCTACTGATTACAGTTTGCCAATCTGAAAATGAACTCCTTATCTCCACTCTGTTTCCTGCCATTGGCCAATTCTCTATCTATACAAATATACTACCTCCATCTTGGTGGTCTCTTATCTTATGACTTAACTTTTTGTGAATTCCAAATGCAGCCATCTACTGGTTCCCCTCTATCCACTCTGGTTCAGACTTCCTCGAAAAATTCTTATAAATCAGCCAGATACAATTTCCCTTTCATGAAGCTGTGCTGACTCTGCTCAATTAGATTGATTTTCAAATATTCTGCTATTGCTTCCTTAATAATTGATTCCAACAGTTTTCTAAAATTAGATGCTAGTCTAATCAGCCAATAATTAACCACTTTTTGCTTCCCTTCCTTTTTGAATAGATGTGTCCCATTGTCACATCTCTAATCCTCTGTTACTTCTCCAGAATCCAGTGATTTTTGAAAAATTATAACCAATGTACCCACTGTCTCTGTAACTACTTCTTTTAGGATCCTATGATTCTGGGCTGGGGCCTTATCTGATTTTTGTCCCATTAGTTTATCCAACGCTACTACTTTCGTGATGAGATGGTTCTTAATTCCTTTCCCCTATTCTTTAATGGGAAATTTGAAGTATCTTCCACCATAAAGTCTGTTACAAAACATCTGTTTACTCCTGTGCCGTTTCTTTTTTCCTCATAACCATTTCCACGGATTCATTTGCTAAGGGGCCTATGTTCACTTTGACCTCTCTCTTCCTTTTTGCATATTTAGTGTGAGTTATTATGTTCCTCGTTAGTTTGTCCTCCCAGTTTATTTTCTCTCTCTCCCTATTATCAATTATCCTTTTAGTCCTCCTTTGCTGAATTCTGAATTCACCCTTTTGCCTTTTCTTTGACTGTTAGGTCACCCAGATCATCCTATATTCGTTACGCAGAATCATCAATGCGGAATGGCTTTGGCCTGAAGTATTTGCACAAGTTTTTCAATATTCCATTTCTCCAATTGCAGGTGAGTAGCTTGGATCATGTTTTGATTTCTTCATTACAGCTGTAGTGTTGGGGCTGGTATGTCACATCATCTATAGGTGCATACTTTTTTCAATTACTAAAACTCATCATGAAATGAGCTAAAGTCCCAAGTACTTTGACATACCAGTGACTATAATTCTCATAGTTTTAACATAGTTATGGAAAAAGGTAGAACAGGTCCACATGTTAAGGTGCTAAACTGGAGCAGGGCCAATTTTGGAGCCATTAAGCAGGATCTAGCTGCGGTCAATTGGGTGAGTCTGTTTGAAGGAAAAGGAATGACTGGCAAATGGGTGGTTTTTAAAAGTGTTATATCAAGAGTCCAGGGACAGTATGGAGATCCGCTCAGAGATCAGCATGGCTGTCTATGTGTGGAGCCACAAGAGATGGGGGAGATTTTTAATGAATATTTCTCCTCGTTTACTGAGGAGAGAATAATGGATGCTAAGGAAATAAAGGAAACAAGTGGGCATACAAATTACTAGAGAGGTGGTGTTTGCGGCCTTAGATCACATTAAGGTGAATAAATCCCCGGGGCCTGATCAAGGGCAGCACGGTGGCTCAGTGGTTAGCACTGCTGCTTCACAGCGCCAGGGACCAGGGTTCGATTCTACCCTCGGGCGACTGTCTGTGTGGAGTTTGCAAACTCTCCCCGTGTCTGCATGAGTTCCCTCCGGGTGCTCCGGTTTCCCCTCTCAGTCCAAAGATGTGCAGGCTAGGTGGATTGGCCATGCCAAATTGCCCGTAGTGTTCAGGGATGTGTAGTTTAGGTGGGTAATAAGGGGATGGGTCTGGGTGGGATCCTCTGAGGGTTGGTTTGGACTTGTTGGGCCAAAGGGCCTGTTTCCACACTAGGCATTCTATGAAGTCCATCCTTGGAGGTTGTGGGAGGCTCGGAAAGAAATTGCAGAGGCCCTTGAGATTTTTGCTTCATCTTTAGCCACTAGTGAAGTTCCAGAAGACTGGAGGATGGCTAATGTTCCATAGTTTAAGAAAGGTAGCAAAGGCAAGTCAGGGAACTACAAGCCAGTAAGACTGACAAGAGAGGATACTGAGGGACAGGATCAGCCAGCATTTGGATTGTCAAGATCCAATTAGGGATAGTCAGCGTGGATTTGTGCGTAGGAAGTCAAGTCTGACAAATCTTTTGGAGTTTTTTGAAGAGGTTAGATGAGGGTAGGGCAGTGAATGTTGTTTCTGTGGACTTTAGTAAGGTCTTTGACAAGGTCCCACAAGGCAGGCAAATCATGAAAGTTAGGTTGCATGGGATCCAGGGAGATCTAGCTAATTGGATTCAAAACTGGTTCGATGGTAGGAAGCGGAGTGATAGTTGAAGGTTGTTTCTCGGACTGGAGGCCTGTGACTAGTGGTGTGCCACAGGGATCGGTGCTGGGACCTTTGTTATTTGTTATTTAGATAAATGATCTGGATGTGAATGTACAAGGCATGCTTAGTAAATTTGTGGAAGATACAAAATTAGGAGGTATCGTTGATAGCGAAGAAGGTTATCAAAAATTACAGAGCGATCTTGATCAGATGGGGAAGTGGGCTGAGGATTGGCAAATGCAATTCAATACAGATAAGTGTGAGGTGTTGTACTTTGGAAAGTCAAACCAAGGTAGGTCTTGTATAGTAAATGGAAAGGCCCTGAGGAGTGTTGTGGAACAGAGAGACCGAGGAGTACAAGTACATAGTTCATCGGACGCGGCATCATAGGTGGACAGGCTGGTGAAGAAGGCATTTAGCATGCTGGCCTTCATCGGTCAAGGCATTGAGTATAGGAGTTGGGATGTTATGTTACAGTTGTGTAAGTCTTTGGTGAGGCCGCAGTTGGGGTATTATGTACAGTTTTGGTCACCCTATTATAGGAAAGACATAGTTAAACTGGAAAATGTGCAAAGAAGATTTATAAGGATTTTGCCAGGACTGGTAGGCCTGAGTTATTGGGAGCGATTGGCCAGGATAGGACTTTATTCCTTGGAACATAGGAGGATGAGGGTGACCTTGTTGAGGTGTATAAGATCATGAGGAGAATAAGTAAGATGAATGCATATAGTCTTTTTCCCAGAGTTGGGGAATTGTAAACAAGAGGGCATAGGTTCGGTGAGGGGAAAAGATTTAAGAAGGACCTGAGGGGCAACTTCTTCACGTAGACAGTGGTGCATATATGGAATGAGCTGCCAGAGAAAGTGGTTGAGGCAGGTACAATAGCAACATTTAAAAAAACATTTGGATAGGTAAATGGATGGGAAGGGTTAAGAGCGATATGGACCAAATGTGGGTAAATGGAACTAGCTGAGTCGGCACCATGGTCAATATGGACCAGTTTGGGCCTGTTTCCATGCTGTGTTACTCTATGACTTTGCAATCTGTTGACTCTGCAATCTGTTGACTCAGTAACATATCTCCATTGTGCACAGCTGGTGAAACATAGACAGTGCATTAGAAAGTGTGGTCTTGCAAAATAGGCAAGATCCAGCTTGCTTTCTGGGTGTCATGAGAGGCTGTAGTGTAAAATAGTTGTACAGTCATAGAGACATACAATACAGAAACAGACCCTTCAGTCCAACTTATCTGCACCAGGCAGACATCCCAATCTGACCTCGTCCTATTTGCCAGCATTTGGCCATATCCCTCTAAACCCTTCCTGTTCATATACCCATCCAGATACCTTCTGAATGTTGTAATAAAATGCCTCCACCACTTCCTCTGGCAGCTCATTACATACAAGCACCACCCTCTGTGGAAAAACTTACTCCTCATCTTTTCCCTCTCACCTTAAACCTGTGCCCACTAGTTGAGCATGTCAGAAGAGAAGAACAGAAGATCAACAATGATCTTCTCAGAGTGTCTGTCTGATTGAGTGGATGGGTGTGAAGGTGTGTAGGCATGTCTGCAGTGTGTGAGTCAGTGTGTGAAGGTGTGTGCATATGTGTGGGAAGGTGTGAAAGTGTATGAACATGTGCAGTGTGCGCGCGCATATTTGTTTGTACTCTACAGAGTGATGCTCCATCTGTGATATTCATAATTTAAGTAATGTGAATAGATAATAGATGAGATACTGGTTTGTGGAATTAGCATGAGTTACAGACCATAAGAAAGAATGGCAAGAATTTGGAGAATGGAGGAAAAGTAAAATAGACATGTAGAATATCCAAATTCCACTAGAAATATTAAGTAATCTTTTTTGAAAGTTCGGCTCATTCTCAGACTTTAGGCCCTGATTTTGCTGCAGAATCATACAGCATGGAAACAGACCCTTCAGACCAACTAGTCCATGCCGACCATGTTCCCAAACCAAACTAGTCCCACTTGCCTCTGTTTGGTCCATTATCCCTCCAAACCTTTCCAAATCATGTACTTATCCAAATGTCTTTTAAATGTTTTAACTGTACCTACATCCACGATTTCTTCTCGCAGTTCATACCACACACTAACCACAATGGGTACAAAAAAGTTGCCTGTCATATCCTTTATAAAACTTTCTCTTTTTACCCTAAAATTATGCCCTCTAGTTTTGAACTCCCCCACTCTAGAAAAAAAGACCTTTGCTATTCACCTTATCTATGTCCATCATGATTTTATAAACCTGTAAAAGGTCACCCTTCAACTTCCTACGCTGCAGTGAAAAAAGTCCCAGCCTATCCAGCCTCCCCTTATAACTCAAACCCTCTACTCCTGGCAACGTTCTGGTAAATCTTTTCTGAACCCCCTCCAGTTTAATAATATCCTTGCAATAGCAGGGCGATCAGAACTGCACACAGTATTCCAGACGAGACCTCTCCAATGTCCTGTACAATTTCAACATGATGTCTCAACCCTTATACTCAAAGGTCTGAGCAATGAAGGGAAGCATGCTAAATACCTTCTTAACCACCCTGTCTACCTGTGACTCAAATTTCAAAGAATTATGTACCCGAGCCCCTAGACTTCTCTGTTGCACAACACTGTCCAGGGCCCTACCATTAAGCAAGATGATAGCACTTGCCACTAACCTGGAAGAAGGCTACCGACAAAAATTTATCAGTGTCTCCATCATGGATTTCTCCTTTCCTGATGTCAGTTTGAATCTGTTGCTATGTACAGGAGTCAAGCAGCAGTAGTGTCATCAAGCAGGGTAAGCAGCCATTCCATTTAATTATTTACACAGATAGCAAAGCAGGAAGCACAGATTGTCCTTCACTTTTAATTACAATTTTACGAGAGTGATGTAAGTTATTGGGATATAAATATAAGATTGAGGTAGAAGCTGATACTGCAGACATTTCATTTTTTAAATTATAATGGAGAAATTGGGCATTATATAAATAATAAAATTAGACTGATGCTTTTTAACAATAATTATGAATTAAGTATGCTGTTAATATCCCAGTCACATCCCCTCCCATCCTTTCAGCAAGTCTGACTGTTTCATTGTCTTTACAATGTGACTAACAGTTTTGAAGGGGCAGGTTCTGGTCAGTTCAGTGATTGCTAATGGATTATCTGAGGAGACTACAGCCCACCTTCTGGATATTTTCTGTTAACTTCATCTAAATGTCCTCCAGAAGTTGCTATCAGTTTTATCGGAATCGTGGTAATATGTATCAGTAGTTTGTGTCATTTCTCGCAATAGAATCTGGGCCATAGACAATTCTACCCAGATTTAAAAGGAACAAACTAATGCTGCAGATCACAGTAGGTCAGGTTAGCTCTCTCTCTATGGATGCTGTCTGACCCAATGTGATCTCCAGCATTTGTTATCTTCAGTACAGATTCCAGCATCTGCAGTAATTTGCTCCTACCTTGGACGGAAGTAAAGTGTTGCCATATGATAATCTAGTATAAGTTTTGCTAGTTGCTTGTTTGCTTCTGCTTATGGAGAGAAAGCCAAGGTTTGCGAATCTTCTTTGACCTCATCAGGCCCTTTTACATTTTTGCAGCCATGTCCATTGTTGGCTGTGTCTATTTCAGTCTTTTGAGTTTGAACCAAGTTAAAAT